AAATCATCCAGCACATGTATCCAACAGCAATGTTCGCAGACTCACGAACAATGCGCTGGGGACATGGCTGTCCTCGTAAGTGCGCGTTTGTTGTTCAAGCTGGGTGATCCTGTTCTCGAGTACGCCCGCTTGAAATACCGGCTACGGTGGTAGTGTGGAGTCGAAAAGGGAAGCTACCGAGGCGGTTGATCGCGAGTTTGTTGAACGAAGTTGGTTTGCTTCATGTTTGCGGGCACGCATTTTAGATGTCCTGAACGTTTGCGACGCGTCCCCTCTACTCATATCTACCCTGATATCTGGTGGAAAACCAACCGTTCTCAAACGATGCAATGAGTGCTTTTTCAGGTGCGTGTTCGTGAGCAGACAGGTTGGGTGGTGCGGTTCGTTCGGCTTCGGCAAGAAGTCTAGAGTAGGTTCGTGGGACTCTGATCAAAAACAACTCGACACTCTCATTAGGCCTCGCTTGGAGCGTCATGACCTCGTGTGCGAGAAGCGCGATTCTGTACGCAGGCGCAAAGGGAGTAATCATAGCATGAACTGTTTCCAGGTTTTCAGAGGAGATATGATGACTTGTTCTTCACCTCGTGCACGAAATGCAGCTACTTGCTTTTCCGACTGCCACTCCAAGCTTGGGCTTGAAATGAGATCAAGCGTTTGTGCCGCGGCGCCTTTGGTTATGAGGAGTAAGTTCTTGATAACCGTACGGCCGATGATGTCATCCGAGGTGTTTTCGGGCAGTGAGAGGCGAATCTGTGTGCGATACTTCCCCATGATTTCGGGTAAATCTTCCGATGGGAGATCCTCAAGTTTCAGACTTGACGGAAACTCGGAAGCTTTGAGAACGCGAAAAGTACCTTGAGTTGCATGATTGCGTTGCTCGTGTATGAGTGGCGAGGTCGTTGTCCTGCGTTTGTGACACGTCTCCACTCTGCTGCGGTGAAGGTGCTACATTTGTCTGCTGTTGTTGAGACCCAATTTCACCTTGCTGATGCTGCTGCTGCTGCTGCTGGGGTGAGACGACTTACTGAATGATCTGAGTGTTTACGGAACGATCGGCACAAAAAGCGGACTCTAAACGGTGTGGATTCATCTGGGTGATTGCTGTGATTCGAACCGGTGTTCCCATAGAGAGACTCATGATCCAGTCATTCGGATAGACTTTGTCGTCTCGGGCTTCCCTCGAGCTCTTCACGATGAACGGTCCACGAAGTTGCGTGATAAGCTGAAGGCGAGGACTCCGTGTCGGTGAATTGCGGGAGTTGGCCGAGGGCATCGGAGAGCAGTGCGCAAGTGGAATAGGTCGGCCGTTTTCTCCGTCTTCCCGGCTTTCATCGGCTGGCTCATCGTGCGCGTCCCCGGCAAGTGCGGGAGTAACGGTTATTAGGGTCCACCCCTCCGCTTCCGGAGCTGCCACCTCCATTGCTGGAGTTGCCACCCCCAGCGTCGGAGATGCCTCCGCTTCGGTTTTTGGGGTTGCCACTTTTGTCAGCGCCGTCGCGTGCAACGTTGGCATCGTCTTTCGGGTCGGGTGACGAAACGTCGNCGTCGGAGATGCCTCCGCTTCGGTTTTTGGGGTTGCCACTTTTGTCAGCGCCGTCGCGTGCAACGTTGGCATCGTCTTTCGGGTCGGGTGACGAAACGTCGACGTTGGCAAGGGGTCCTTTACCGTTGTTGGACGATTTCTTGCCCGAATACTGCTGAGACTCTTGTGGAGGCTGCTGTGCAGGCATAAGTTTGGGTTCGGCTGAGGTGGTCTGAGGAGCACCGCTACAGGCGCCCGTGCCCGCCTGCTGGTTCGGACCGGCCTTGTTGTCTTTCCTCCTCTGATTGTTGGCCATATTGGAAAAATGAGTGAACAAGGGAGAAAACACACACAGAGACGGCTCTTCGTCGAAGCCAATGTGAATTCCCTCAACTCTGTGTGAGCTGAGGTCCCAATATAGCGAGGTGGTATATACCCACCACCGGAGGCGGGCCAGTTTCCTCTGTTGAGATGTGACGAGGATTGTCAAGCGGTGATCGAGCGTGCTCGGTCAGGGCTAGGGTAAGGTTGCGAGTGTGCGTTGGCCGAAACCCTTATTGGCTCTCGGTCCCAACCATAAAGGTCCACCCCGACTCCTGTCGGAGCAAATAACCCACAGAGTAAAGATCCAGAGTAGAGCGATGAATTATTGTCTGTCGAAGGTTTTTTACTCCCTTCGCATGTATGTGCACGTAACAGAAGATACGAATATCCTGGCTTCCACAAAATACTTCATACAATAATCGAACTGTAGTTATGATGCAACAACAGTTCTCATGAGCATTGTGTGGCAAAAGAACATGATGAATACCACAAAACGCTTCCTTCCAAAGTCATAGTATTACACTGATGATTCCACGAGACACTATAACACCAAAAAACAATTACATTCGGGAGAATGCTTGCCCCCCGATTGATGGGAACACACCGAACCGCCCACCAGCACGATCCCTTTGCTGATGGAAAACGCCACCGCACCCCAGAGTCCATTGGCAAAACTTGTGCACACATTCGCTCCGTGAGAGACAGGGTTGTTGGTGACGAGAAATCTGGCATTTGACGTTAAAATGTCCGATTCACGCCGCGCCTGAAGCAGCGTCGTCGTCATCGTCGTCGTCGCCTTAAATGATACACGGGGCCTCGTTCGCGTCGTCACAGTACCTGCCGCTATCTTTCACCTCCGATGAGCAGCAAGACTCTGCGCCAAGACCGTTTGAAGCGCCAGAAGTGCTGCATCCCGAACCTCCGCACTGGCCACACCCAAGTGGACAACAGACCTCGCCCTTGTGGTCGATGCCCTCGAGGTCGTTGCTGCACGTAGTCGCTGTTTTGCAAAGGGCAAGTTCAACGAGTTGTTGCGTGGGAACTCATTGCGATGATGAATTCGAAGAGGTGCAAGCGGCTATCAAGATTTTTCCAGACGCCTATCCTTACGTTTATCATTGCACTTATTACTGCTGTTGGCGGGCAGGATACTTGGGCTCCTAGGGTGTTGTGGCGCTCACCGTCATCATCGTCTTCATCACTATCATCATCACCCTCATCGTCACCGTCGTCATCATCGTCAGCGTTGGGGGCGCTGCCGTAGATGCATGGGGCCACGCCGGTGTCGTCACAGTAGTTGCCGCTACTCTTGATCCCTCCTCCGCAGCATGAACTAGAGGTAAGACCATTCGCAGCGCCAGCAGCCCCGCACCCCGAACCCGCGCACTGACCACAGCCGAGGGGGCAGCAGACGACGCCGTTGCCGTCGATGCCCTCGATGCCGTCGCTGCACGTGCCAACATCATCTGGAAGCATACAAGGTAAACGTATATTTTTCGCATCGCGGTGGTTGGGAATTCAATTCAAATGTTATCTTGCACCCGCAACTAGCGGAAACACTTGGGTCACTAGTGAACAGGGTTCTTGGCAAGTGTGGTATTGCGCTCACCTTCATCATCGTCTTCCTCACTATCATCATCACCCTCATCGCTACCGTCGTCATCATCGTCAGCGTTGGGGGCGCTGCCGTAGATGCATGGGGCCACGCCGGTGTCGTCACAGTAGTTGCCGCTACTCTTGATCCCTCCTCCGCAGCATGAACTAGAGGTAAGACCATTCGCAGCGCCAGCAATGCTGCACCCCGAACCCGCGCATTGGCCACAGCCGAGGGGGCAGCAGACGACGCCGTTGCCGTCGATGCCCTCAATGCCGTCGCTGCACGTGCCAATATCATCTGGAAACATACAACGTAAACGTATATTTTTGGTATCGCGGTGGGTGGGATTTCGACTCAAATGTTAATTTGGACTCGCAACTAGCGGAAACGCTTGGGCCACTAATGAACAGGGTTCTTGGCAAGTGTGGTATTGCGCTCACCGTCATCGTCATCATCGTCATCATCGTCAGTATCGGGAGCGCTGCCGTAGATGCATGGGGCTACCCCGGTGTCGTCACAGTAGTTGCCGCTACTCTTGATCCCTCCTCCACAGCATGAACTAGAGGTAAGACCATTCGCAGCGCCAGCAATGCTGCACCCCGAACCCGCGCATTGGCCACAGCCAAGGGGGCAGCAGACGACGCCGTTGCCGTCGATGCCCTCAATACCGTCGCTGCACGTACCACCTGATTCTCGAAACGTATAGAGTTGTGACCCGGGTCGTGCGGGCATGAGATGTACGTGGTAAATATTGGTGACAGGATAAGCGCGGCTTGCTGATTTGTCGCCTAGTTTGGCGTTGCAGGTCGACCCAACCAAGTGTTTCATCATCAGGTACGGGAGCGGTGCTCAGATCTTTCTCGTTCTTTCCGTGTACTTGTTGCTATGTCGCATACCTCACAATTCATGCCACCTGGCTTCATGGCACGTTTTTATTTGAATTCGTTGTCGTCCGGCGTTGGGAGACCATTTGCCTACTTTTGAACTAAGCCATGCACGTCGCCGTTGTCGTCTCTACTCCCGCGTCGTCAACAGTCTTCGTCCACGTTGAGAGAACTCTGCGACTTCCTAGTGGAACAGTCTTGTCAAAACTTCACACAGCCAGACAGCCAGTAAATTCCGCTCTTTCGACAGTTTTGAGGTTGCCCAACAGTATTGTTGTCGCTTAGGCTCTCCCGTCACACAGAAGTCTGGCTTCCGTTATTGTTATTGTCTGTTTTTCTGCCTATGTCGAACGTTTCTCCCCCCGCTACTTGTCCCTGTTCATGTGAAGCAATTGTTTTTTCGTCGGCGTGACCGCATAGAGAGCGCAATGACGCAAGAGACAGACATTCGTGTACACACTCGCTCCTATTGTGGCACTGAAATATCATGGTTGTCTTGTGGTCGGTCTTGCTTCTCCAACGCGTACTTCCCATTACTCGTTGTGGGCAGTCATCAAATGCGTGCCGCGAAGGAGAGACGGCTGTTCGTGTGTGTGGGATTCGCTTTGGTATCATATGGATACTCATCCCCAGCGACCCGAGCCTTAAACGTTTGTTTCTCCCTAATCCAGGGGAGATGGTGGCCCAGGAGGGGGACACAAAAAGGTTGGTTTTCTTATTATCACGGTGTCATTCCGTTTGGAAGTATGGGGACTATTGGGATTTTCACATTGGTATGGTCCTTGCACTTCAAGCAGAGTGAGTCCAGCGGGAGCAGGAGCAATGGCGACTCTGCGGAAACACTCACGGGTTTCAGGGGTGGCCTCGGTCGTTGGCTCGGGCGTTGGAGGCTCGGTCGTTGGCGGCTCGGTCGTTGGCGGCTCGGTCGTTGGCGGCTCGGTCGTTGGCGGCTCGGTCGTTGGCGGCTCGGTCGTTGGCGACTCGGTCGTCGGCGGCTCGGTCGTCGGCGGCTCGGTCGTTGGCGGCTCGGTCGTTGGCGGCTCGGTCGTTGGCTCGGGTGTTGTCTCCGGTGATGGTGTCACCTGGACACACAACAACGAAGCGCGCATGTGTGATGGGTTAGTATTTTAGTTCGTTGCCGTCCCCATACTTGTTGTGATATCAATCGCTAAGGGGAGTACCCTCCATCACCTACGTACATAAATAGCCCGTGATTATTGCCTCCCTGGCTCAAGAGCCAACGCCCGTGGTTGGCGGTGGAAAATAGGTTGCCGCGCGTACGCCTCCCTTTTCAACCCACGAGGACGGCTTCGCACACTTCCGGCCCTCAACTTCACACACACGCGCACAAGCCGGACCCTTACCCACGCCAGAGGGTGAACCGGTCAAACCACGCCTCGGCAGTCGTCGAGTCCCGTCCTGTGCATGTACCTATGCATGACCGCCTGGAAAACAACTGTCGACGCTACACGGTGAACTAGACCACAACCTTTCCCAACAGAGTTGAACAATCAGGAATAGTTGTGGCCTGGTAATGTGTACTTCCATTTCTGTGTAAAAAACAAGTCCAAACAGTGGTCGATTAGCTCTCGGAACGATCCAATACTTTTCCGGAGTCGTGGTATTGAGCAGAACATCAAAGACTGCGGACTAGTCTTGCCACCCCCGGCGAATATCGAACAGCCCCCTCTATCATCTAGCAATGGAATGGGTGGCGCCAGTATATCAAGGGAAACGCACTACGCGCTGTCGCTATTGTATTTCGGTCTCTGTTTCCTAGTGTATTCTATGGAGTATCGATGTTACCGGTGTAGGGGTTGGCCCGGGCTCCGGCGTGGGTGAAGAGTCACAAGGTTTCAACGGATCGTAGTAGAAGTCTCCTCCGGAGTACTCGTACTGCGTTGGTAGCGCCAAGTTCAAGAAGAGAGAGACAGACAGACAGAAATGGAGAGAGAGCGAGAGAGAGAGAGAGAGAGAGACAGAGAGAGAGCCAGAGAGGCAGACAACGAGACAGACAGAAAAACTCAGAGGAATGGTGAAGAGGCGCGCGCTACTTTGCTTGTTCTTCAGATCAACCTTTGACGAAAGTGCCTCGGACGGGACGACGGCACCGCATTGTATTCCTCTATGAGAGCCACTTCCTACCCCCTTTGTGCTTTTTTCATAAAGGAATTCGGTGTTGTGTCGTGTTAGATACACCCATCAGCTTCCGGTGGTAATCTCAGCAGCCAGAAAAGCGTCTCCTACTCCCGTGGTCTGATTTGTTCGCGTGGAATCGCTCCACCAAGTGATCATGACCGATCCCCGTACCGCCCCCCCACCACTACCTTGCGGATTGCATCCACGAGGAAAACAGGCCAGGAAAAACACCGGTCGCCAACCCAGGGTTCAATACTCACGTCGTCCTCATCAATGTCATCAGGAAGTGTGACGTCGTTGTCGCAGATCTGACCCTGGGGGTCGACCATGACCTTTACGGCGGAGTGCCGGCAGTCGACCATGGTGTTTCCGTAAACCTGTTGCATGCGCGAGGGACCCGGATAGTTAGACGGTGGACGAGAAACCAGGGGCAGGAGTTTGCCTATGAGTTGGAAAAATAGGCACTGTCGACTCGCTTGACACCATCTCATCTCGTCAAATTCAGTGCGTGAGAAGAGGGTCCAGCTCGAAACCCCTACATCCATCTGAAATCGTTCATGAGGCGATGCCACCCTCGTTTTCTGGGGACCCCGGGGGCGCCGTAGACAGGTGGCGCGAGAGCGCGTTTTTAGGGCGTATATCCGCCACGAGGATGGGCCTCAAAGAACCGTCTGCCTTTCGGTGACGGTGCAGCTCTCTGCTGTCAGGCACCCACGCCCGTGACGACAGTAAGGTGATGACTTCCTCGGACGAGACTTTCTTGGCATGGCCGTTGAATTCGAAGAAAAAATCGGTTCACGTGTTTGAGAACATGCGGCGTCTTGCGGTCGCGTGCAGTTCGGATCATCGGCATGGCCAAATCCCACGAGCACCTGGTTATTTTTGCCGTATTCGGTACTGTCGACGGTGTGGCCTCCTAGACGGACACCCGCGCCGTCCGTGTCTTCGATGTGGTTGTAGCGGATGATGCTCCGGTCACCACGGCTTCCGATGCCTGCCCACAAACGATGGGTTTTTTGTCGTTGCTGTTGCTTGTGTATTTCGCGATTGCTTCAGTGCCCGCCGCAGCACGTTGATGCAAAGACTGCATCTGAGGCGGAAGTGCTCCACGCTACCGGGAGCGCTTGTGCTGCTGTGGGAACACGCCCTTGTGCTTCTGGAATGCCTTGCAGTGTGCATGGCATCGCCCAGAGAAGACGAATACCTATTATAGGTTTTGCTAAACACGGATGCATATCAACCAGTGCCGCACAGCTGACTAAGACTCGTGCCAACGAGATTTTACCCTGTCGCGATTGAGGCAATAATGAAATGCATCCAAGGTATGCACATCGGCAATATTTTCTCTCGATCATACCCCTTAGCTTTGTCTGCCAGTCAGGTGTTCGAGCCTTACCCAACGAAGGGGACATCCCCAAGCACGTGGCCCCAAAGACCGCCTAGGATACAGAGACGTTGTCGTGTAAGGGGACTGCTGAATGATCGATTCTTCTCGAAACAAGGACCCTCTTGCGGGTCGAATTTTGCCATCTGCTTCACCTCAAACCGGCCGCCACCAGCAAGAAGATCGTTAGAAGGAAAATACAAGACGGGCGACAAATCAACCTATATGCTAAATGAGGATCTATTTCTGCATCACAACATCCCGCGGCTAAGAACCCTCGGCAGAGACGGAACTGCTTCTCAATATCGCCTTTCGTGGGGTAATTTTGTGGCGAGACAATATCTGTCGGTGGTCGCCGCAGAAGGTCGTGCATAACGCAGGATGTAAAAGACATCACAGCCCCTGGGTCGGTTTTCAAAACTTAAATCACTTTTCGACAAACAGGATGCTACAACCAAATTGTACGATTTAGGGAAGCTCTTGGTGAGACTGGTCCAAACCCGCCGTTTTCGGCACCGCCACGCTTACGGCTATGGAGTAGTCAAGCTTTGGGAATCGATCAGGGCGTGTGTATCTCATGCGGCATATATATGCCATTTTGGCTCTTGATATCTGCAGCGCACACAGTTCCGCGCTTGTGTCAAGAGGCCACGGTTTCTGAAAGGCTTGCTAGTACAGGTCCGTTTTCGTACACCAATCCATGTCTCACCGAGACATTGGGTAAACATGAGCGAATACATCTTTCTATCCTCGCCTCTTCGACTCACCTCCGGAGTCGTCGTCGTATTGCATGTACACCTCGTTGTACTCGATGAGGGTGTCAACGCTTCCTTCTTTCACGTCAATACCTTCATTACCCTGATGGAGGTGGTACAACAATGGCGACCACAACACGAACATGGGGTCGTGCCAACAAGGCGGAGTTCCGGTAACCGGCGAGGAGCGGCCGTTGCTGCCCAAAGTACACTGCCCTTTCGGCAGATCGTTGAGACTATCGCCATCCCCCCCCCTACCTTCCAACTCGACTCGCATCTGGCCAAAATAGGCAACTGTTCTACGAGCTCAAGCTGAGTCCAACCACAAAGAGTAACCGTTCCGCGAGAAAATTTCGCTCCGTGTCGTTTTCGAGCTTCGTCGTTTTCGAGCTCGAGCCCGGCAACTAATGGCACCCGGGCGTTTGCGATTCTGAACCAGCCCGCCCGTTCGAGATCACACACCTTGTATCGACTGAATTGATCGTTGCGTTAATCTTTTTCAACCTTACGCTGTGTGCTTCGGTTCTGGCATGGCCTAAGCCAGAGTGCAGCTCGAAAATGATGTGTGATGACCTACCCTAACAAAGCGATGGCACACTTGTGCTTTATGGCAGGGGAAAATCATGGAGATAGCGAGGTTCGGTGCTTCTTCCCTTACCCTAGTCCTGATGTAGTTGTCACGGATGATGTTGCCCATGCACGCGTCTGGTACGTCATCCCAGTTGTTATCATTGTCCCACTGACTGCTCGAGGTTCCGACATCTGGGTGTCGGCCATCAAAGCAAGTCACCGGCGAGACATGGTCGATGTCAAAGCACACACTTGTCCGACAAAGGCAGTTTTTCCCAAACGTTTCTACGACTTGGGACAATTGCTCACTCCCACAAGGCGTGTGGTCCTTATGGTGAACCAAAGCATGAGAGAGTATATATTTGGGGCGAAACACATAAAAAACATCGTCGGGACCCTCAGATGAAGCAAGGCGCTTGACCACTGTGCGCAGACATACAATCTTATTGTTTTCAAGGCACCGCCGAACTTCAAACTTCGCAACAGTTCTTGTCTCTGAGTGCAGCCGCACGCCTACCCCGGGAATCCCTCTCGAATAGAATATCCGGAGGTTTTGTCGCACTCACATACACCTTCTCCGTTCTTGCCGTCGCCGTCTTCCCTTCAGGTAGATGGACGCGCGGGTAGTAGGAAGGGGGACGAAGGGGATGGCGAGGGTGATGAGGGCGAAAGGGGAGAGGGGGATGTACTCATAACCGTGCATGCCGTGGTTGTTTGACCATTGACCTCACATTCCTACGAAGCCGGGACGGAGCACGCCGGACTCTCACCGGACGAGGGTGTCACTTCACCAAGCGCAAAGCGCCGTGAGGTTTTCGGCGAGTCGCATGAAGGGTGCACTGCAACCTGCGAAGGGTTTTCGGCATCTTGTGCTTACTTCCTTGCGTACGGATGACAGCTGCGTATGACCTAATTTATTTTCTGGTGCTTTCACTTCCAGAGACAGTTGTAAGCGCTGTGTAACTGCCTCATGGTGGTTGACCCATCTATCACAACGGTGGTGCGATCATCCATCCCCTTTGCGCGGAGTGGGGGTTCCCGACCACGCACAAAATATCCTGCTCGACATGGTTACCGCAAAAAAAAAGGGAAGACGTAAGTCACAGAACACAACAGTACAGAGGAAGTGCGGGTGTGACACGCTACAAACAACATCGGAGATAGACAGATAGCGAGACAGAGAAAATGGAATTTCGAGGCAGGACGAATGTCCTGCCTTTTCCACCAGACAAAACAAACATTTGACCAGCCGCCTCCACCGGGCGTTGCCCTTACCCTACCAATCCACCCCGGCCCTCCACGGCAAACACATAGCGCGCGCGAGGCAATCTCCGTGGAAGCATCGCTTCAGACGTCAGGGACCCTTCAAACCGCTTGAGTTCGAGCCTCGGCAGATTTAGGCTACTCAAACCTGAAGTCGAAGATGCCTGGGCGTACGAGAGCGGTAACGGAATAGTCGGGAGGCGAAAACGGCGGGCCGGGGGTTCTCGTTGTCGTGCATGCCGTAATCGTTTGGCCATTGACCTTGCCTCCCTAATTATACAGCCGGGACGGAGCAAGCCGGGTTCTTAACGGACCAGGCTCTCACACCACCAAGCACGAAGCGCCGTGTGGTATGCGGGGAGTCGCGTGAAAGGTGCGCTGCATCCTGCTAGGGGTGTTCAACATCTGGTGCTTACTTCCTTGCAACGGATGGCAGCATCGAATGACCACTATATTTTCAGGTGCTTCCAGTTCCAGAGACAATTGTAAGCACCGTTTCCCTCGAGGATGCTTGACCAATTTAACCCAACGTGGTGCGATCATCCCCTTTGCACGGAGTGAGCGTTCTCGACCCGGCACAACAGAATCTACTCGACCGCCATTATGGTTCGCAAAAAAATAGAAGGGGAAAAATAAGGTTACGAGCAACCCAACTCCGATGGCACATGGGAAGAGTATTTCAGGTACCAAGCGTCACTGGCTCTGGTGTCAGCGATATGCCAGTAAGGTGAAGTTTGTGCTGCGGCGTTGGAAGAAGCAACGCCTGAAGCTTACCGCAGTCGGTGATGTGGTTGCTGTACACCTCGGCGTACGTCACGTGGTCTTGGCGGGGAACGCGGACAGCGGCAGGAGCGGCCGCGTGTTTGATGGAGGAACAAGACAGCCGAAAGGAGAAGGGTTTGAAATACGAACAAGAGTGTGCCGCCTGCGCAACAAATCACTCTGACAGTCAGGGGTCTTTCGCTACAGAGTCGTCGCGAGATAGATTAAAGAAAACCGGGCTTCATGGAAAGAAGGAAAAATGACACGAAACACCGCTTGGCACGAGAACAAATGCGCTACAACCAAATATGTGGTACTGCATTTCGCGTGCGAGAGAGATACCGCAAGCGCCACGAGAACGTGCATGTCGCTTCTTCGCTCACCGCGCAAGCGGATGCACTCGCCACCGGCGTTGGTAACCGCCATGTTGCGAATCACAAGGCCGTCTATCGCAGAAACATATCCCCCATCCCTTTCGGTGGGCTCCCGGTTGGCTGATTGATGGAGAAGGGAGTGAAAACAGCCGTCGACATTGACCAGAATGGATAAAGTGGGTGAGTAGGGGGGGGCGGGAGCTGCGACCGGAGCTGCCGCCGCACATAGCCACAGTGGCCGTGACCACCTTAAAAGTCAAACACGAAAAATGGGTGAGTATGCATACGGGCGGCGACTGGCCATTAGTTCTCGTCATCAGCCAACAACACAATTCTGTCACAATAACAGCGAGAAACTTTACTCCTCTGTCCGTTTGTTCAACCATTGCTTTTCCCGTTGCACGCGTCACCTTCCTGGCAATGTACGTTCGTGGTCTCGTCGTTGTGGAGATTTGAGAACAACTTTAGGATGGGATCCGGGGTGAGTCACGTCAAGGAAAAAAAAACGACAATAATAATAGCAGTATGACAAATCTGCCAACATCGACACAGCGACGCCATTGTTGCGGAATTTCACAAATCCGCCAACACTTTACAACAGCGACACTATGGTTGTGGAATCTCGCGCGACGTCCTCGTTGGGGAATCTCCTACCGACGGCGTAGATGAGTACGTCGCGCCACATATCCTCGGGCGAATCGGAATCCGCATCGCGGTCTGGATCATCTTCCGCATCTCCGTTTACCGTGAAGTCCTGGGCGGATACGAGCGGACCCGACAAAAAATTATGGCAATACTGCTGTAGTCTAGAGCATGTGACTCCGTGTTCGCCATGCGCACTAATCTTCATTTTTTGCTCGCGGGCACCTTGCGAATCAGACCCACAATAAAAAACAGAAAGAGCACGAAGAAGATGGTGCCGGAAGAAAATGCCATATGCACCACACGCTCATGCTCGCTCGGGGATATGAGCGCCAATATTTTCAATGCGACATCGCGCAGTTTGTTGTAGTAATGTACTTGCTTCATTACCAAGCTCGATTCGGTGCCTGCGACTTGCAAAGGAGCGACGCTACAGAAGTTCCAATAATGATGGTATTTCATCCTGACGGCTCCTTTGAGTTGGTCATTGTGTGTCCTTTGGAATCGTGGATGACCGGAATGTATAGAACTGTGACAGCGTATGCCCCACCACTACCAACACAAACTACACAGTGTAGACTATACCCGCGCCGTAACTGACGATGCTCGCACCTCGACGATGTAGTAGTCGTGCTTGATTTCTAACACCCTGGTGCTAGTGCCAGCGCCACGCAGAACAACGTTTTCTCTGTCGTCTGTCCCTCCAGCCCCGCGGATAGTGATTGGCATGTCGACCGTCCCATCGGTCTACACGACGGCGACGATAATGACAACATGAGAAGAGACAAGAACGAAAAAAGCACGGGCTTGGCCGCAACGAGACCATGGTCCAAACCTCAATAGCAGCTTCTCTTTCACCGGTTTGACTACACAGCAGTACAGTAGCAGCAGTTTTTCCTAGGCGGGTTACACGACACACAGTACTGTGAGGCTTAATCACAGTGAGCGCCCAACAATTTTCGACGCTCAATGACCTCGTTGGCGCTGCACCCTACGTAGCGTGCGACCTGTTGGAACACCTGCTTATAGCTGACCCGTTTCGCTGTCGGAGACACTGTTTTCGTCACGGACCACACCGGGCCTGCTAGTGAATGGCCCGTTGTGGTCTGCTTATGGTAACGGTGCAGCGTGTACGCGATTGTAGTAGTATAGACTACATATATCGTACATATATATTGCCCAGGTACAGTACTACATGTGAATCAGAGCGACCTTTTCTTCTTCTGACTGGAATTTCTGTCGTGTTAGCGACTGTTACAGTACATGTAGTGTTTTCAAAAGATGCGGACAGCCCTGAACACCCACGCGGGGCCACACCACCGTTCACCCACCCGTGTCTTGAGATCTTCCCAGTAATCTCCATTCCCGAGTTCAATGACGTCACCAGGGTTGACCACATCGAGGGCATCCTGAGGCCATCAAGTAGCGCGTTGAATAAAAAAATGTATGTAGTGCCGCACTCGCACGTGCAGAACTTTAATCTACTTTGGGCGAGTCCGGAACGGGTACAATAGATCCATGTAATGTGTAGACTTCGTTACGCTCGCCTTCAAACCTACTGGTTCTACTGGGTGGGGCTGCTCTGAGGAGGATGTACAGCTTCGTATTATGCAGAAAACAGTGTCAATATTGAAGAGGGCTTACAGACGACACGGAACTCTCATACAGACATAAGAGTAGGATCCTCGGGATTTCCGAAACACTTGGAATTACATAAATCCTGGTCTCCGTTCGAAGCGACGCGCTGCAAAGCTCGTTATTAGAAAATTTGATCGACTTCACAAGTCGCGAGGGAAGGGATTGCTCCTACCCTTCTCGCGATAAAAATATCTCTGGGAGGAACCGCAGGAGGGGGTCCAACCCCCCCTCCTATGTGACCCCGGTTGGGGCGTCTAGCTGGTAGAAGTGGAGGATAGGGGACAGAGGGGCAGACGACAGAGTCCAATATCCATGCCGGTCGCCCCGGTGGTCTAGTTGGTAACTTCGAAACCTTCTGGAGGTCAGGTCAGGGGTCCGAATCCCGGCTCAAGCGAGCTTTTCTTGCAAAGTGAGTTTTCCTCTCGCTTCCGCTCCTGGCCAAGTGGATAGCGCTAGTTCGAGTTTACACAGAGGGAAGAAAGTGCTGAAGAACTCTTCTCGCATTAAAAATCGACGGCAAAGTACCGCAGGAGGGAAGAGTAGAGAGGGGCTCTTCTGTGTGTCCACGGGTTGGTGTAGACGGCACTAGTGTCGTGAGCCCTGATTTGAAGTGAAAAAAAAAAAAATGTCCAATCGTGGGAGACGGAAAAAAAAAATCGTCATGGTTCTTGCCACGTGTTCGTTCCTCTTGTGATTCCAAACAATTGCGAATGTCGACTGGGAAAATGAGTCCAAAAGGCTCGCCCACTCCGCGCCACCCTTGCTTAATTGAGTTCGCTCGGTCTCGCTTGACGTTTCTCGCCACATCACAAGGAAATACCCAGGCTCCGATGGCAAGTCCTAGCCACCACACTGAGCTCCTGACTCGCCGCTCACTCAGAGTTGAGGACTCCATGACTGTTGATGGTTTCTTTCTCAATTCAAAATGTGTTTTATGAACGCACTTCTGTGCTGTCGATGGCCCCGCGATTCCCCTCGAAGCTGCATGTGCGTAATGATGATGATATGGTTATGGGGCTTAGGGGTTTAGGTGTATGGCGAATTGACTTTGGTACCTTGCACAAACAATTTCCAACGTAACGATCCTTTCTCTTGTCGACAACTTGAGAGTATCCACTGCTTGCTGCTTCTTCTGCCCTCCGTCCGGTTCTGCAAAACTATAACCGCATATCAAATACTGCAGTATTATTGTAGAAGAAGCGTCATCAAACGGAAGTTTGTAGACTAAGCCTTGCGTAAAACTACCTGCTGGCCCAGGGCGGCTTGGAAATTGCAGAAGCGTAACATCAGCACTGAGCGATCACATCGGACAAATGAAACGGACGGAGGGTAAAACCCATCGACGGTCAAAATGCGATCGACCGCTAAAAACTTTGGTGCCTGTACCTGAAAAGCGGTGCCTCCTGGAGTGATCGATATGGTAGCACACTGACCGTAGAACGATAAACAGCCTATGAAGAGCAGTGGCAGCAGCAGCGATGACGACATTGGATCTTTTGGCATCGGTAGAAAGCTGTCGCAGTGCAACCGTTGCTCCGAAGGAAGCGCACTCGACTTCTGCGCTGGCGATACCACACGGGTCCACGCGCTTCACCGGTAGACTACCAGGTCCGAAGAGGTAGACCTTTGGATAGGTATCGTTGGGGGTTGATCGCGTTGGTTATGTACGATCCGCGCAAGGAAACAGCAGTAGGACGCGGGCCGAATTGTTCTTTCGGGTGGATGTCGCGAGGTGTGTGACTAATTGGTGTATCTTCTTCCCGCTATTGTCTTGTAGTTGATGATCACGGTTGGTGTGAAAAACCGCGTGGTGCCTGTTCGTTATGTTGTCTCGCTGGCAGTATGAGTTTTTCTTGTTTCCAGCGGATACAACGACGACGTCATGATCATGCATCCGGTATCGCCTCTTTCGTTGGCGGCCTGAACCGCGTCTGTCTGTCTACCGTACTGAACGGTTTATTAATCGATTTCCGCGGGATGCAGCGGTGAGATCAGGGTAACGACGGAACAATAGCGGTGTACTAAACGCCGTTGGCAAGAGCAAGGATGGCATCGCCTAGTGCAGTACGTTTGCGTCCGAGGTCATGCATCCGGCATCGCCTCTTTTGTTGGCGGTCTGAACCGCGTCTGTCTGTCTACCGTCTCTGAACGGTTTATTTATCAATTCAGAGGGGATTCAGCGGTGAGACCAGGGCAACGACGGAATAATAGCGGTGTGCCACACGCCGTTGGCAAGAGCAAGGATGGCACCCCGTAGTGCAGTACGTTTGCGTCCGAGGTCATGCATCCGGTAACGCCTCGTTCGTTGGCGGTCTGAACCGCATCTGTCTACCTGTGAACGGTTTATTTATTTATTTATTTATTTTTTTTGCCTTCGGACAATTGCAGATGTACCTCAGAAAACTTTCTCTTAATGTCTCATGCTCTACATGAATATTGAACCAATACGAAGTTGTTGTTGTTGTTGTTGTTGTTGACTTCACATTAAACCGTATGCCAGTTGCTAAATGCCAAAATCTAGCAAAGACTCTCAGCCCGTGGTCACGAAAGTGCTAGAGCCATCTGAGGATCTAAAGAACACGCACACGTAGCAAGAAAAAGGTATCCAAGAGCCCGAAGAGGTACTACTACACCTATATATAATCCCTGCAGCACCGTACGCGTGCCCAAAACTGAACTACACGTCCGTCTCACCGTTCGACTACAG